AGATATTGCGGGGTTTGGGAAAGCTAATATTTTCCTGTGACTTTAATGAATTTAATGAAATCTTTAATATTTTCCTGTGACTTTAATGAATTTAATGAAATCTTTAACGAGATCCTCACAAAACTTTCACCATCCAAACATCGAATACCTGCTATGTGGAAGTCAAGAAAAAGAAAAAGAAAAACAGCTAACATGAAATTATATGAAAATATTTACCAGAATCTTCCTCTTGAAGATTAAAAAGAATTGAAGGAATGATTTTGTCCATATATTGTCTTTCCCATATACTAGTTTGTAGTGGATCCGTCGTTGATTTCCACATAACGCCTACAACAAACTCAAAAGCTAATGAATATAAATCAAAGAATTATAAAATTTTTGATTTACTCATATTGCGTTTTAATATAAAATTGTTGAAATCTGAATTAAAGTACCTCTCAAGCCACGTAAACCTGCATATCGTGCATCTTTTGAAATTTCACTGTTATTTGCATGACACATTGAAGCGAACTTAGAAATGAAGAAGTCATACTCTCTATGATAAGCGGGAATGTTTTCTTCGATGTTCGCAAAATTCACGAAGGAGTCTGTAGCCAGTTTCTGAAAAAATCAGAAACTTAATTTTATAAATCTAACGGAAATTCTTGAAAAAAAGAAAACAGTTGTGTTACAGAATTTGAAAATTATGTTTGCAAAAATAGATCATTATCATTTTTCAAATCAACTTTTAGTTCGGTTCATCCTCTGAAAATTTTAACAATCTCATACTCCTAGCTTTATGTAGTTGTATCAAAGATTTCATATAAACGTAATTCAGAATAATGTTTGGAATTATTTACAAAGCTTGAACAGTGTAGGACTGCCCATTTACTCCTGCAAAAACTCAAAGTTTAATAATAAGAGTATTAAATGTCTCTCAAATAAAACTATATCATCCAAAAAATGACTGATGCAAATATTCTGTAGCAATAACGCAAGTAGGTAATCGGTATCACGAAAATAGACGAAATACCACAACTTCGTAACACACACTATTAACGGAAATAAATTTAACCTCCATTTGGAAATGATTCGTCTCCAACAACTTCTGCAACATTTTGAGGAAATGTTCGACGAACTTATTTAAACTCGATAAATCGTGACAACTTTGCAGCAACTGATCCATTGCTTCTACGGATATCTGAATTCAATATTTCACTAACAGATTTAAAAGTTTTTTTCTTTAAATTTTCAATTTAGTAAATTTTTTCTTATTGAAAAAAAATCGGTGAATTTGACATATATCTCCAGCAATTTTTGAGACTGTTCATTTATATAGGATGAACGAATGGGAACAAAAAAAACATATCTAGCATGGTCCGCTGTCACCATATTCACAATATAAATAGCAATCTCAAGGAATAGAATTTCCCGCTATAAAATACCGCAAAAGACTCAATACCTTAACTTGGTTGTATCTTTGGTGATACAAATCTCTGGATAATCGTGACACAATATATTCACCAATTCTATCCAATTTTTCGGGTCGTGATATTGCATAAAATGTTAGCTTTTGCATATTCGAATTGATCAAGCCTTCAGTTAAGGACCTAGAAAGATAAACTATGCAAAATTAGTTAGACCCAATATTTATTTAAAACTGGTGGCAGCAGATAAACTATCGGATAAAGCAATGAAATCAACAAACTTTGTTTCACAAAGAGACAAGAAATACATGGATTTATTCTAATACTTGAACGCATTTCAGA